GTGTGAGTGAGAGAGAGACTATAAGTCACGGTGCAAGGCGAGGTCAGGTTACGGAATTTAAGATATTCCCCCAACCAATCACAGTGCGCAATTAATATTCCTGTTAATCCAATTACAGTCTTAAGATGTCCGATGATTTTCCGATGTCTTGCGATTTTGCTCTATTTCATTCTCTTGGGAATCATAGCAAATCAGACCACCTTATATTTAGTGCTGACCACAAGATTTAAAAAACAGCAATGAAAAACCAGTTGTTAGAGAGTCCAAGAGTTCTTATTTTGTTTTTATTTATAGGAAAGCTGTAAGGAAGACGAAACGCTAGAAACTCTTTTGGAGGGGATAACAACACTGAAACAAATCCTGGAGAAAGGCGAAGACACGAATAAAGAACCCGGTAAGAAATGTGTGCGTAACATTGCGCTCAAGACCTTTTTCTCWCGTGAATATCTATAACTGACGTGATGCTGTAATCCAATAAAATGCGATGCATATAATGAAAAGCCTTATCGGAATAGCCGCACCGACACGAGTGAAAACGTCTGCACATGCTCGATCGAAATCCGTATGCAAATTAGTCGAATGTCTTCATGCTATTATAAAAATGTGTAAACTTGACTTTCAACCATGCCTGATAAATGAACTTCGCAAAATGGCAAAACTTAGAGTCAGTCCTTGAAACTTAAGGCTGCTTATTTCATATTGTGTTTATTAATACAGTATCTTGGTCTCACAAATGTATACTCACGAAATGTTTTGGATACTCGAAAAAAGGGGCATTCATTGTCTAACTAAAACTCTCTTTTCTAAAAGTCTTAATCTCGTACCTAGAGCCCGCGTTTCTTTTGGCCTGCGGCGAAGGACGAGGGCTCTGGCATTATCCATGCGCAGTTTTCCGAAAGTGAGATAAAATAGATCAAAACAATGAAAGTAAAAATTAAATCAAGTAAAAATCAATGTAAAAATCGAAGTAAAAATCATAGTAAAAATTAGAAATCGGGGAAAACGTTTTTTTWAATTTTTGGCAATTCTTTGAACGCATGCGCTGTTATACCAGAAGTCCAAGAAATCCTGGACTCAAAAAATGGATTATGCCAAAGCTCTCGTTCTTCGTCGCAGGCCAGAAGAAACGCAGGCTCTGGGTACGAGATTGTGAAAGTCTCAGAAAACGTGCTAAAAGCCACGCATGCGCAAACGCTTCTCTCTAGTGTCAGTCGCTCCTACACTTGTATGTGGCATTACCCTTTAACGTTAGCGCGCAAAGGTTACATGGAGTGTCATCATAGGAATCAAGGGAGGTGTAGTAGTAGTGCACTCTTGTTCTGGTGTAGTTTTATATAGCTACAGTATAGGGATGCTCACTTCGAAGTTATACAGAGTCTCTTATTCTGATCCATAGTGGTGCCTCAAAACTTTGGTTGCGATTAACTAATAACTGTTGACTCAGCCTACATAATTACTTCACAGAAGAAGACAAGGAACCAGATTTGCCGTCGTCTCTCCCGTTACAGCAGTTATTCAACGACAGAATCACGTTCATCGCGGGAGACCCCGAGGCTGGAGTGAGTCTGACAATGTGGTTCTCTACACCACCCCCTGAAGACATTGAACCTGAGACAGACATGGTTAGTGACTTTATTCTTCCCCTTTTTTTCGTTACCTTTACCTTCCCTTTTTTTCCTTTGCTTCTCCTTCATTTTCCTTTGCTTTTCCTTTCTTTTCTTTTCTCAGTTCTTTTGCCTTTATTCCTTCTACGTTTCTTTCTGGATTCCTAATAGACCCTTTTCGAGTTCCAAATTACCGCTGTGTTTCTTGATTACAGACTCATTTGCTCAGGCTTAGCCTCGATTTTGTGAAGAATATTCACGTTTTCTAGTCAAGGTCCGTCAAGTTTCAAAGTGTTCGTATTGCTGAACTTGTGCATTCTTTACTTTACCGTTGGTATTTGCGAGTAATTAGACACTGATTCGAGGCTTAGCCTGAGCAAATGAGTCTGTAATCAAGAAACACAGCAGTAATTTGGAACTCGAAAAGGGTCTATTGATAATCAAATTCAGGATTTGAATAAACGTTTTGGTATTACTCCCGTTCTGGCAAACTTTGGCAAACCTCATAATCACCGCTCGACCAGTGATTTTCATCTCATAATCACTGGTCACTCGACCTATCACAACGCGCGAAACTCTATATTAATTCAAGTCTAAAATTATACTAATAAATAATAATACTCTTTGATGACGTTTTCAGGTGAGCAGTGATTTGGATTCCCTTCGAACCAAGTACTGTCCTGACTTCGACTTAAAGGCAGAACTAGAGAAAGGTCTTGTACCCTCGCCACCACCTTCTCCTATTCGTAAGAAGAGCAGGTACATATGCCATAATAATATAAAATATTAAAACGTTTCAATCATTTCATAATTTTTTTTTTTTTTAATGTATGGCTTGCTGTCATATCGTTGTTGTTACCGAAAAAACGCACTTTTTGATGCAACGACTTTTCGTTAGCAACTCATTAAATCGTTCAAAATTCACGTGGGATGAATAAATTATCTCTTTGATTGACGTTGAAGCCACTAAAATTTTGCAGGACTCTCTTTAGATGAATCATTTTTTTCTCATGGATATTCATAATGAACCTCGCAAATTTATCCAAAACTAGTTTTATGGTAACAAGTTCTAATTTTGTAAGACCGCATTGATAGTCAGTCTCTTTAATGTTGGAAAAACGTACTCTTACATTACTATGTACATTAAGGGTGGGTTTTCCTGCATGAAAACTTAGGGGGGCATCAATCTCTCAACCTCGTCTCATACTGGGCCAGCAAAAAAAAAAGCTCTTCACTACTGTTTTACACCCCCCCCCCTCCCCACTCCCCACTCCCGACCCACCCCATTTTAATTTGTGACCAGCACCTTAATCCGTAAGTCTACTTGTTACTTTCAGAGTCGTTAAGCGTAAGTTTGATCCTCTCGTCTCTGATGTCGCCAGGGATTTCAAAAAGTTTCGTGGAGGTAATTATTTCAAACTGATCCAGTTTGAGCCGTCATCTTCATGATCTACACTATCAATTATGACCATCAATCATCATCGCATTATCATCATCATCATCCCCATCATCAACATTATCATCGCAATTCAGTCATCACCATTATCATCACCATTAATCATCATCAACCATCACCATCATCATAACCAACCATCGCCGTCACTATCGTCATCATTATCTATTTAGGAAACAAATTCCAGAATATGAGGTATTTAGTTGTGCATATCTAATTCTTACCAGGTTACCAGGGTCGTGGAGGCCGTGGAGGCTCTAGGGGCATGGGCCGAGGTCGTGGACGCGGGGGCATGGGTGATATATTTCGATCTCGTAAACAGAATACAAGCCGACCCCCCTCGATGCATGTGGATGACTTTATGGCCATGGAACAACACAATATGCAGCCTGGTAACAAAGGACAAGAAAACATGCAAAACAGASGCGGAGGAATGAAGGTATAAAAGACTAAAGACTCGGTCATGCGGTGGAATTGTGGCGTGTCGTGGCGTGTACGGATGTCAAACCGTGGCAACTGCGAACAGAAATTTAAATCTGAAAAAAAGCTAATATTAAACTATCTAAGTGAGAATTGCAAATCTAGGTTCTCCGAACTCGGGCATATACGACTATTTTGTCAAATGCAAAAATATTCTGACACTCATTTGGTGGTTGCGCCCGACACCAGAAAAAATGTCTTTCGATTTTTAACATTTTCCGGGTTTTCGTCTTCCTTTTCGTTTAGGGTCCAATGACGAACCGATCACCAATGGACAGAGGAGGCGCAGGATTCATGGGGAACCAGCAACGATGGGCTAACCTACCCACACCTTTCCGTAAAGGTAAAGTTTATTCAATCAAGAAGCTTTCTGCGCACGCCTTTTTTAATTCCCCGAAACAAGAGCAGATATTGGTAAAAGTTTAACACCCAATTCTACCCCAATCTTTTCCATCCCCGATGAAAACCACCCAGCAACGCTTGCATTGCAGGCTGAGTAAGAGAACCTCGTCTTGCGCATGTTTTTGTTGTACTTCACAGATATAAAGAAGCTGAATACACGTTGCGTTATTTCTTTTCACATTATTAACAATGGGTTTATATTTTTATAAGATTCAGAGATATTAATTATACCCTATTTATTTGGGGTTCATTGTTGGTCTAGGCCCAGGTCCCCAAGGTGTCGGTGGACGCGGTGGAGCGGGTGGAACGCCTGACTGGACTGGTCAGCGTCAGTTTGGTGGATTCCCAGGACAAAGAGGTTTCCAAAGAGGGTGAGAAGTGTTTTCCTAAATCTTTAGACACTGTTGTGATTATAAACACTTGATTACAGTGATTCCCAGAAGCAATTTGATGCCTATTTTGTCGCGACGACAAATTGCACGATTTTGGTTAATGAATTTCGCTGTATTTCTGTTCCGTTATGACTTGTTTCCGTCTTATGTTTTTTTTTTAAATTTTAGTCCAAACTGGAGCAGTCCCCAAGCATCACAGCAATATCGAGGTGAGTAATTGTCCGTGTCTTTGTACTTTTGATTGATGCGCACAACATTCATTATGTATTGGAGGCGTGGGCTTTTTAATTTTGTACTAGCTAGAACATCCTTGTAGGTTGTGGTGGATCAAGGTGACTGCGGTTAAGCTTCTCTCGGCTCGAACGAATTAGCCAATCAGCGATTCCTTTAATCTAACTTCTGACGGTCCAAATCAATAAGTGGCTCAGTAGAAAAGGGTGGTGATAACTAGTAGAAAAGGGTGGTGATAACTAGTAGAAAAGGGTGGTGATAACTAGTAGAACTAGCGTGGACTGCGTCGGTGTTTCTGAATAAAACAGTAGGAACTTGTAGATAAATTGAATCACCGTAAAAAGCTTTGTGAAACTGACGTTTCGGACGTTAGTCCTTCGTCGGAGTAAGTGACTAACGTCCGAAACGTCAGTTTCAGTAGGAAAGGCTCTTCTGGAAACTTTTACGAAAAACCTATACCAAACGCAAAAAAATTATGATTATATGAATAGCCTTGCTCTTTTAACTGCTGTCAATAGGGTTTTTAAAAAAACGCTGACACATAAGGGAAGTTTTGCGTCGATAAATGATGATATGTACGTTCAATGTACATGTGATGATATGTACGTTTTTTAAACGTCTTTTCCGTGCTCCGCTGGGCGCGCGGAAAGCGTCGTCAGTGTGCTCCGTTCACTAGTAAAGCACAGTTCTAGACCAATCAGAGCGCGCGTACTATCTAGGCTATATTTCAATGAAGTTTTTTCTTTGATAGTTGTTGTAAAGTGTGATTTTCTAATTAGGTGGAGGAATGAGAGAGAACCAGTACAACAGACCACAAGGGCGTGGCTACTGGGATACACCACGCACCAACAAAGACTCAGATGCAAGGTACACATATCACGTGATAACGAGTTGTCGAGTGCAACATTGCGACCCTTTAACGTCTTAAACCTTTAATTTTTATTGATTCCTTGACATAACAGATCATAGTAGGGGCATGGCTTACTCACAGATCAAACCCTGTAATATCCTCTGGGCTGATCAAAGTAAGGGCACGGCTAACTTGCAGATCAAATCCTGTAACATCCTCTGGGCTGATCAAAGTAAGGGCATAGCTAACTCACAGATCTAACCCTGAAACAACCTCTGGGCTGATCTAAGTCAGGGCATGGCTAACTTGCAGATCACACCCTGTAACATCCTCTGGGCTGATCTAAGTCAGGGCATGGCTAACTCACAGATCAAACCCTGGAACAACCTCTGGGCTGATCTAAGTCAGGGCATGGCTAACTCACAGATCAAACCCTGAAACAACTTCTGGGCTGATCTAAGTCAGGGCATGGCTAACTTGCAGATCAAACCCTAAAACAACCTCTGGGCTAGTCGAAGTCAGGGCATGTAATATCAAAAAATCCAACAATCAATCGCGGGACCCCAGATGTGGGAAGTGAGTGCACCCCCGCTACGCAAACCTTTGATTTCTCTTTTAAAACGTATTTGATAACCTTTTTTCTCGTATCATTTGTTGTTATCCTTCTCATTTCTTTGTTATTCACTAGGTTCATTCCTTCGCCTAATGTCGGTGCCTATCGACCAGGAACAGGGCGCGGCTATCAAGGAAGACACCTCAGGTCATTCACTCGCTAACTCAATATTAATAACATCAAATAATCAATGCTTATGCTTTTCAATGCTTACCCCCATGGAACCTATAACTACTGCAGCCTTTTGTAAGTCCGTGAGCTAAAACTTTATTAAATTATTTTAAGTGTGAGAATAGATTTTTATAGTTTTCTTTACTTGTTTAGTATGGATACACTTTAATATAACTCTTGTGTTTTCATTGTAACATAAATTACACTACATCAATGAAGGTACTTGTTCAATAGGCTATTTGCATCTATCATTCACGTGCTGATATATCACTTTGATAACGAATCAATTCAGCCAAAGGTCCCTTGGGGAAGGCTCTGCTGGATGGCAAACAAACTTTAATTAAACTGCTTCGTATGTTGAAATCGAAAGTATCTCATAGGGGAAAAAAGTATTTTCAAAAAGGTTTTGGATATGACATTAGTAATCCAACAAAAGTTATTTGAATAAAGGAAGTCCGCATTTTTTGCCATCCAGTAACAGTCATTATTTCCTGCAAATGGTCTATTAATCACGTGACGCTAGATCACTTCCCAGGTAAACATGCGGTCACGCCATGGCATCTACGGCGTGCCGTTTATTYTCTTACAGTTGTTCAAATCCTTCCATCCACCTATTACTCCTAGTTCTGATGCCCCATTCACCAGTGGGGGGGGGGGGGGGATTTAGCTTCAGCGCCAACATGAGTTCTTAAAAGACGCTACAATTTGAGCATGATTACAATGACAGAATTTCGTGGCGCCCATAACTAGGTGGAATTTGGTAATACTCCTGAATCATGATCCCATGCACTAGCAGAGCTGGTAGCGCTCTCGGTATTTCGTCTCCAGTACTCTACCGAGGCGCGGTTCATGCAGGATTCTTCGCTACTTGACCGCGGCATAGTAATGAGTTCTGGAACTAGGTGAGTTACGGAACTACGACCCAGGCTTCGAGGTTTTGGTCTTGTCGTTCGGAGACTGGTGAGGAGAGCATCTTCACTTGAAGGCGATGGTGATGAGGAGTTGACCTGAAATTTTTAGAAATAAGTTCAGAATTCCTGGTTTGGGTATTAGATCTTTTTTTYCCCCCAATTTACGGTATCAAAATTCCAGTAATTATTTAAAACACTTAATCAGTATATGCTGAAAGAAGCTATTTTCCTTTATTTCAGTTAGTTATCAGTTAAAAACATTCCAATAGGTTATAATAGATATCTCGTTAACATGCACCGTAGTGTGACGTAATGAGAATTGCATGACATAAATGCACATTGTATGACATCACATCCAATAAGAGACTCAACAAAGCATTGAAGTCCATTAACGACAAAACAGCTTTATATTGAAGCCGATAATTTGATTGTTTCCCTAACGTTATTACGAATGGACGGCTTAGATCAGTAAGACAACAATAAGCAAAACAATGCTTTTTGACCCCAGCTTTTCTAGACTGTCAGGTCAATGTTTGCAGTTCCTTAAAAGCTTCTAATTTTTTWAAATAATTGTTTGAAATTTTAAGCCTAGTTACTTAGAAGCTTGCACCTCTCAAAAAAAWTTTTAAGTTAATATATACAGATTTTTAATACGAAGGAATATTTGAATAAATAAGACGATGAAGAAGCTAAGCTTCRATGTTCAAAGCTTCGCGTGTGAATCTGTTTTTATATTGTCAGATGATGATGACATCTTAATAAAACTGTCTAAAATCACGACTCTGATCCGAAGCGTGATATTATTTTAATTCATTTATGACCGCAAATATAACACGCAATAATATCATTATCGGTTCTCGCACCTATTAATGTACTTTCGTTAATCACTTTTTTTCGGTACATTTTTGTACTTACGTGTTCTCCAAAGCTAGTCAGAGGTTCTTGTCGTACGTATAGGTATCGCTTGTTACAAGAGCCGCAATATTTTTCCGCTAAATCATCCTGATATTTCAATCCTTTGAGCCAGTCAAGCAACTCCTTCCGCTCTTGTTGCACGTAATTGTATTCATCTGATCGTTGCATTTCTTTCGCTTTTATTGCCTTGATCTCGCGTAGAAGATCCTCCATTTGCGTTTTCAGCTCCTCTATTTGATTTTGTAAGCTAGATTCTTTGTATACCATGTGGACACGTTGTGAATCGAGTCGAGATTCCATTTCGGTTTTACAGTCACGCAATCCCTTCGCGAAATCGTTCTTTTGTTCCTCCATGGCCTTCTTCAGCTCAGCGATACAGTTGTGTTGGGAAATTTCGTTCATATTTACTTGAAGTCCGCAGCCCTTGGTGCACGTAGCGGTTTGATAATCACAAATGATTAAATGTGTCTCTAATTCGCAGCGATTCACCCTCTCTTCGCACCCTTTGTTTGGGCACGAAACCTTAGTAAAGGCACACTCTTCTTTCAAATGGTGTTGCAGTTTCCCAAGTTCAACCTCTTCCTTACAACCTTCAACTTCATTATCGCAGCGTATTTTCAACCTATCGAGATCATTTTTCATATACCTGAAGATTGGTTTAAGATCGCTTGGCCAAAGCCTTTGACGGTCTTCAGGGCAAGACTTATAATGAGTTAACCAAGTATGAATACAAGTTGAACAAAATGTATGTTCACAAGGAGCCAGTAGAGGCTCTTCAAGAACATCACGACAAATCGAACACAGTAATCCTTCATTTACCTCGCCAATAAAACGCTCTATGTCGAACCCCATCTTGTGATCGTCCTTTGATCTTGTGCCTTTCTCCACACAGCTTGCTTGTATCAGATTGTTTATATCACCTTTGTGCGGCTTTAAATTAAATTTTTATAATTTATGAATCAGAAATCGTTATCACTTGTAGATATTTCACTCAAAGTCACGCAAATCCCGAGAGGTTTGGTATTACAACTATGCTGAAAAATCTTCCTTGTCGTGACCGGAGCTTGAGGCTTCTATGCTATCTATCCACTTATCAGCAAGTACATAAGATGCTTGAGTTATCAAATAGTAGTTCTCACAAGAGTGGAACATCACTCAGTTGAATCATCTTTCGCTTTGTTTTGGTGTGACGAACTCGAAACAAAGACTCCAGGAAAAGGAAAAATGCTTATTGTTAAGTGAACCACAGCACCTGATTTACATCCCCCTAATTACAGGCTGCACAGTGAGAGTAACAAGAAACTCGGCTTATAGAATAATGAATTGTTTTGTGAATATTTTAGTGGATTTCGGAAGAATCAAAGATGGTTTTCTTAAGTCTTGCCCGTGAGGGGGTCGCCTTGAACGCGATCAGATGAGGCCTGCAACGAAGCAGAAATTTCCTACTGTTTCTTGTGAGCTGAAAGAACTGTCAAAACTAGTTTCTTTTCTGATCCTTGCACTTTCTTAACAGTGTTTTGCTCTCGACTTTTCAGGATCCATTTCCTCTACACTTAAGGCTTTCTATATTGTGTTTACATACATTGGGCGCACTATACGAGACAAATTGTCTGACCAAGACAGCATGTAGCAACTGCTAACACCCTCAACTATTTACTCACCACTCTAAGCAAAGAGAAGCCTATTATATTATTTCTTATTGATGTATGTACATATTCGATTTCGTTTGCTTTGTTTGACAAAGGATTATCAAGTACTCAAATAACAATGCCAAACGATTACAACATTTTATACTGTAAACCCATTGAATAATTAATGCTTTTTTAATTTTTTTTTTAATTCCTTGACAAACATGAAAGTCTTTTTATAGTATATTGAGAGAAAATCCTCATAGTATACTGTGTATCTGTGCATTAAGAGATCAAGGGATGGTAGGACTTGGAAGTGTATGAGCTCTTGGCGTGACTGGTTATCGTTTTCATGGAAATATGATGATGATGTTTTTGGTGTCGAAGCATGTTTGTTATCGTTGTGGCATGTAACCTACCCTGGTCCCAGAGCTTTCTCGTATTTTTTTTTCTCTGTAAAATCGCCGCGAAGCGGCAACAACGAGCTGCGAAGCAGCGAGCCGCGAGAAACCTCTGGTCACGACCGTTGAGAACCTCACTTTCATGCCATCAACTTATGATCGTCGAATTCTGATTGGATGGCTATTTTAATCACTGTACGAGAAATATGATTGGCTGGATTAGATATCTATGGGGGTAGGGGCTGAATGAGCTTGTCACGTCAATATYTTTGTTTGGGGGGAGGGGTCAGGCTTTTCGTGCCATCGGACTATATTGTCATTATAGCGTCTTGTCAGCCTGAAGTTTGATCTTTAACACATCTTACAATCTTATCTAAAGTCTATAGTTTATAAATATTGCTAGTTTATAGTTTCAATGACGGTTTTGATATCCAGAGAACTATTCGAGAGTATCTTGAAATCAAGTCTCGAAAGTCGTTTTCCCGAAATAGAACAGCTATCGGCTGAGCAAAGCAACGCTTTGTTTGGTCTGTTAAACCGAGAAGATGTCTTCGCCGTTTTGCCAACCGGTCATGGCAAGTCAATCATATTCCAACTACTGGTCGACTTCTGTAAGGAACTTAATCTCAGAGGCTTTCCTTACCCAAGGAACGCCATCGTCTTGGTGATTTGTCCGCTAAATTCGCTGGTGGAGTCTCATATCCGAGAGTTGAATTCCCGAGGCATGACAGCAAGCAGTTTAACAGGAGATATTGATGAATCGAAAATACGGCGAAGAAATTCTTGTTTATTTGCTCCAAAAATATTAATTTGCGAGCGCCCACTGATTTTTATACTTTCTCTGCAAGCTCTACAGAAGTCGTTTGGACGCTGTATAAATACCTTTACCGGTGTATTATAATCTTTCTGCATAACATAACTATTGAGTCGAAGTAAGAAGAGTCGCACGTGTAGCATACTATTTTGACAGCTCGTAAATATACAAAGTCTCTTCTCCCACCCCTACTTGAAAAAAATAGTGTTGGTATATAGCATTAAGCCTCCACACCCTAATTATAATTTGTAACACGATCATCCTTTTGTGATTGGTCGACTAGAAATGATGGATTTGACAGCTATGATGGCATGAAAGTGAGGTTCTCAACGGTCGTGACCAGAGGTTTCTCGCGGCTCGCTGCTTCGCAGCTCGTTGTTGCCGCTTCGCGGCGATTTTACAGAGAAAAAAAAATACGAGAAATCTCTGGGACCAGGGTACATGTAACCTAAACTATCCTTGTTATTTCTGGAATGAGCCACAGCCTGGAGGGGGCGCCTTTAGAAATTAATTTGTTTTGGGATATTTAAAAAATGCGGTAAAAAATGAGAAGGGAAACTTCGTGCATAAAAGCGGTAGTTGCTAGGGTGGGTAGCTGCTAGACGCACAGGTGTCTCGGTCAAACACAGTCGAATATATTAGCCATTTGGAGGTTGAGGGGGGAAAAACGGGGCCAAGTTGGCATTATAGTGCATTGTGGGGCTGTTTGAGGGGACAAAATAGATGCCATTTTCGGAAATATGTCTCCTAACTTTTTTGTTTTTTTCTTTCTTTTTTTATTCTTTCTGTCCTTTCCTTTTATTTATTCATTCTTTTTATATTCATTCTTTTTTCTTTCTTTCTTTCTATCTATCTTTCTTTCTTTCTTTCTTACTTACTTTCTTTT